TTGCTGACAGATCAGATGTGGGGACAAAAAGAGGAATCAAGGGTGAATCCGAGGTTTGGACCTGAGCAAGTGAAAGACAGAGTTGCCATCAACTGACAAGTGAAGACAGAGTGGAGCAGATTGGGGTAAGGAGCTAAACTTTTGGGCATAATAAGCTTGAGGTGCCCATTAGACAATGAGGTAGTGAGAGGGAGTAGGCAAGGTGGCTAGGTGAGGGTGGAACTTAGGAGAGTCAACCTCTTGATGGTTTTCTCAAGTCTTTACAAATCAACAGAATGAGGAGAGGTCAAGAACTCTGCTACAGGGCATACCCATGGTAAGAGGCTGAAAAGATGAGGAAAAACCAGGAAAGGAGACTGAGAAGGAAGGGGGACCAAGAGATTTTCTTTTTCTTAAGATGGAAGAAATAATTGCATGTTTGTATGCTTGGAGAAAGGTGCTGGAAGAAGGAATGGGATCCAGTGCAGGGGACGGCCTTACCCAGGGGCACTGGGATGTCCACAATGAGAGGAGGAAGGCACAGATGCAGCAGGGGCAGATGTCCCAACTGCCTCAATATCCTCAGTGAAATAGGCGCTAGGCCAGATAGGGAAGATGGTGTGGGAGGCTGAGGCAAGCAGGAAGGTATGAAACGTTCCTAGACTCCAGGGCCGCGTGGGCGACACTGCACGGCAGCAAGGGCTCACTGATGGTCACGGGGTCAGTGACCCCAGTCAGGGTGGCTGTGCTTTTCTAGACCATGCTCAGCAGGAGAAGGTGGGATTTCACTAGGATTGTATCTACAAGGCAAATATAAATAGGAAGTAAAAGGGGGCAAAAGAGATTATATTGCTGAACCACAGACTCAAAGCTAGAAAAGAAGTGAGGCAAGGACCTGAGGGGCTGAGTGAGGATGACAAGTGGGGAGGACCAACTGATTGAAGACCCTGGTGGACTCAAAGGATTGTTGGGAGTCACAGTACTAGAAGGAGTGACCCAACACACAGGGACAGTTAACACTGGGATGATGTAGATGCTGGTAATGACAAGGACTAGGGTATGACCATGGAAGGGAGGTTGACGTGAGGGGAGAACAAGACATCAAACTGAGTGGCCCAGGCGTTGGAAGGATGATCCTTGAATTAAAACAAGAATAGTGTGAGAGCATGACAATAAGTGAGAAGCTAAACCATGGCTGTCTCGCAGACCTCTACTTTGCCCTTGCTCCAGGGCCTCCAGGCTACTCCCCGGATGTGGTTTCCCCCAACCCTACCTGCCTCCCCACAATGGGACTTGAATTTGCAAGCATCTCCTTGAGTGTATGCACTTTTGGCCCACTTAAATCCCCACGGACATTACTCTCAGACACCCAACAACTCCTCTTTATCATTAAGGTTTCTTTTATTCTATTTCTAGGTGTCTGTCAGCATGGAAAGAACTCTGGAGAAAGAGGGTTGCGTTCATTACCACCAGTATATGTGACCCTGCGATCCCTTCACACCACTGAGATATGGCCACTGGGTTTAACCTTACATTCAACCAGGCCAAGCCTCCACCAAACATGGGTTCTTCTTTAGCACAGCAGCAGGGATGAAGAAAGCAAAAGGCTTGGGGCAGGCCCAGTGGTGTAGTGGTTAAGTTCACGCACTCCGCTTCAGCGGCCTGGGGTTTGCCGCTTCGGATCCTGGGCACGGACCTACGCACCACTCATCAAGCCATGCTGAGGCGGCGTCCCACATAGAGCAACTAGAAGGACAACTATGACATACAACTATCTACTGAGGCTTTAGGGAGAAAAAAGAAAAAAAAGGGAAGACTGGCAACAGATGTTATCTCAGGGCCAATCTTCCTCGGAAAGAAAAAGAAAGAAAAAGGCTCAACCAGCTCCCTGCCTCCAGCCTCCAACACATCAAGGTGACCTGGGGACTGCAAGAACAGCCAGCAGGCAACTAGGCAATTCCTGAATAGTTCTTTCCTCCTCACTCCAAAGAGGAGTGCACTTGCCCAAATGTTTCTACACTACATACAAAACTGGTCCAGCCTGATGCAGCTGCCTTAGAAATGGGCTCTGCTTCCAGCTGACTGGCTAGGTTCTGCAGGCTGTCAGGCTGAGGGGGTAAAAAGTGGGACAGAATCCCTGTCTACCTCAGGAGGTTTCACTAGCAAACCGTGAAGGTGTAAGTGAACTCCCCTGATCCAACTAGATGGATAGCATAGCAAAGCATCCCTCTATGCAGCAGGCAGCACCTGGCCCAGGTGTGGGGGATGGCCAGGTGGCCGTGGGGAGGGTTATGCACAGGCCCTCCATAGGAAAAGACAGCTGTGAGACGCAGGCCCAGCACCCCGGGGATGCATTACAGAAGGATTGGTAGTTTCTCTAAACCCAACTCAGAGTGGCAAAACCCAGTTTATGCCAACCCAGAGCGGGCCCTGGACTTCCTCTCAGCCAGTGAGAACTGCTGCTCTCTCAGAGAAGATGGGTCAAATGGGCCCAGACCAGGTGGCACTTCCATTCAGCTATGGTGAGAGGGACTCAAAGCTTGGCCATGAGCCAAGGAGTATCACCAGGGCCTGCCAGTCCCTCATCCACACTCTGAACACACTGGGGTTCTAGCATCCTGGCTGCCTGCCGCCCTTTCGAGGAGAAGGGTGTTCTATATGAAGAATAACTTCAACTTACATTAAGGAAATATTCCCTTCTCTGCAATTAACTGAAGAGCCTTTATTTTTCTGTAGTTTCCCTTCAACTCAAACAGAAGCCTCATATTTGTGGTGACTGTTTGCCCTAAATTAAATCATTAAGGCCAACTCATACTAGCTCCTGTTCTCAGCCCAAGTTTGGGCTCTAACTTGCAACTAAAAGTCATTTTAGACAACGTAATTAAATATATCTCATTCTAACAGCTTTTAGATTCATGGTTTTAATATACTGCCACTGCATCTGCTGAGTTCCAGAATGAAGCACTGCTCAAGTTTAGCAAATGATAAGAAAGAAGCTGTTAAAACGTCTGAAATGCAGTTACTCACCCTTATCATCAACACTGCTTTCCTGATGTCCCGGATGCCATCATATACCAGCCGGGAGGCATCGATAAACTCGTTCTCATCCATGGGCTGGGCAGGGTCCGAGCTGAGGGCTTCCACAGCCGCTTCTACTTGCTCAGTAAAACGTGGCATGACTGTGGAGAAAAGAGGCATGGCAGATCCTGGTGGCCCAGCAGACATCATCATTCTGCCAGCCCTCCCTAAATCCCTCACTCAGACAGAAAGAGGCGAGGTATATGATGAAGAGCCTCTGCTTCTACCCAAGTGAGAATTATTTATGGGTGAAATAAATTAAATGGCATATTTTATAAAGATTCGAATAATCTTGTCTCTGACCAGATTCTGCAATATACGATTTGGATGGTTAAGAACTTGAAGTGAGATTAACTTGAGGCCTTGCTTAAAAATGGGACCCTCCTTAATTTGGTATTTATTCATTAACATGAGACTTAACTAAGAATTTCATCTTAAATAGAGTGTTCAGAATTATTCCCATCACTAATCGTGGGGCACATATGAAGGAAAGGGTTTGCGAGACTTTAACTTGGCTGACCAACTTCTCACAAGTCTGATATAACACCTAGAACCCTTAAGACCTGAGCTGAGTTCTGATCTCCACTTTCCTAACCTACAATAGGTTAGGAAGGCCTAGACTAGGGCCTAGACTAACAGGATGGCCTGGCCCAGCCACGCCATCTGTGTGTGGGTAGCACAAATAAGGGAGGGAGTTCCCACACCTGTGTTGGAGAGCAGCTTGGTGGCTTCCAGCACCTTCTCCGTGTAGACTCCTGGCTCATAGTTGTCCATCTCTGAGGTGACTACGTGAATGACTCGGGCTGCTCGGCCTCGGATTGCACCAGCTGTGCGGTCCAGCCCATCCACATCTTTCTCTTGGAGAGCAATGACACATTTGTTCACATCTTCCAAAATGTGATTCTCTGAGGAACAAGCAAAAAGCTGAATGAGGGAGGAGGCCTTCCACTACAAGGGGACAATTTTAAGTTGGCATCTGTATTTATTGAGTGTTCACTTTGTGCCAGCTGCACTGCCAAAAGTTTTACATGTATCATTTCACTGAAGAGACTAGCTTAACAGATTAACTGTCCACACAGAAACTCAACCTGTAATCACCTCCAAAAATAACAATCTTCATTCCAGGCTTAAAAAAAGAGAGAGAGATGCCCATCTTTAAGGCACAGTGGTTCTGTAAGCCAGGCAGAAAATTCACATCACAGAAACCTTAATAACTTCTCTTTCCCTTAATTTCACAGACCTTATGTCCCAAAGTCTAAAGTAGAAAAGGTTCACTGTAAGGCTTTACCCTCCCAGTCCCTCATGCCACCCTCCAGTAGATGCCAAAGGTATTCAGACAATCTACCAAGAAGCCAGCATAAAGCCTTGGGATAGGAAAAGGTGCCAGAAAGCAGGTTAAAGTCTCCTCCAGAGACTGCGAAGGGAGCCTACCTGAAGCTTAACATTTAGCGACCCTCTCCTGGGATGCAGGTGGGTCTGTTGTGATATTTGTGGAAACCCTTGAATCCTATTAAGCTGACAAGTGGCTCCTACCAGTCACAGAACTGAATTTGGAAGACCCACCAAAACTATTTTTCCTCAAAACAAAAAGCTTGACACTAGATTTCAGGAATCCCAGAGTAAGGAGTTTACCTCCACCTCATCTATAATACCACAGTGGAAGCAACCAAAACGTTCCAAAGCAGAGTGGGTAATAAATTATGGACACTACCCAGCCTTTAAAGTGGATGAGGTCCATCTGTAGGGGCAGACCCAGAATGGGAAAAGGAATGTTCTCACTCACCCAGAACGGCAGACACCAGCAGACAGCCCAAATGACAGGGCTGCCCAGACTCCAAGAGGTGGGTGGGTGAGTGACACATAGGAAAGTCCCCAGGTCATCACCTGGCTATTTCCTTCCTGCTGAGAAAGGAGCTTTCTTCAAGACATCTAAGAACTCTTAGAAACAGTGTCTGGTAAAGACATGCTCACTCCCTTAAACCAAGAAAGTACTTGGCACAATAGGTGACAGAATAATGGTCCTAGTTCTTCTGGAAGAGCCAGAACAATTAGGGCAAATGTAATCTGTTTAAGAAACACATCTGGTCATTTCTTTGGCAGCCCTGGCTACCTCATGCTTTGACATGTCATTATCCAGGACTGGTGCCTGATTTAATCCACTTCCCAAAGCCATTACCCTTCCCTCACAGCCTCTGCTAACATAGTCAAGTTATATATGACAGTGTCTGGAAGGGAGATGACAATAAGTTTGACCTCTTAAGATACCCAGAATAAGAAAGCAATCATGGTGCTATTTCCTCTTGTCCCAAGGGAAGCCAGAGGCAAGTGGTACTTAGCAATATAGCAAAGAATAGAGCCACCACAATGCCCCCTGCCTTTGGGCTTCAGGATTCCCTGTAGGCTCCAAGAACCAAGGCCCTCCTCTTTATAGTTCCCAAGAGACCACAGGCAGGGACTCTATAAGGGATTGCTTGTTCTGAGACCACAGGTATAATGGAATAAGATGAAAAAATCACAATGAGAAAGAAATAATGATGTGAAAGAATTAAAAACATCTTTCCAGGGCCAGCCTGGTGGCACAAGCAGTTAAGTGCGTGCGCTCTGCTGCAGTGGCCCGGGGTTCACTGGTTCGGATCCCGGGTGTGCACCGATGCACCGCTTGTCAAGCCATGCTGTGGCGGCATCCCATATAAAGTGGAGGAAGATGGGCATGGATGTTAGCCCAGGGCCAGTCTTCCTCAGCAAAAAGAGGAGGATTGGCAGATGTTAGCTCAGGGCTGATCTTCCTCACCAAAAAAAAAAAAAAAGAAAAGAAAAAAACAAAAAAACCTCTTTCCTACAAACCTAAACATACTCTCACCATATGATCCAGCAATCGCACTCTTTGGTATTTATCCAAAGGAGCTGAAAACTTATGTCCACATAAAACTTGCACACAGATGTTTATAACAGCTTTATTCATAATTGTCAAAACCTGGAAGCAACCAAGGTATCCTTCGGTGAACAAACAAACTATGGCACATCCAGACAATGGAATATTATGCAGTGCTAAAAAGAAATAAGCTATTAACCCATGAAAAGACATGGGGCAACCTTAAATGCATGTTACTAAGTGAAAGAAGCCAGTCTGAAAAGGCTAAATACTATATGATTCCAACCGTATGACATTCTGGAAAAGGCAAAACTATGGTGACAGTAAAAAGATCAGAGGTTGCCAGGGGTTGGAGGGGGGAGGGATGAATAGGTGGAGCATAGAGTATCTTTAGGGCTATGAATACGCTGTATGACACTATAATGATGGATACATTTGTCCAAACTCATAGAATGTACACCACCAAGAGTGAACAGTAATGTATATTATGGACTCTGGGTGATAATGATGTGTCAATGTAGGTTCATCAATTTTAACAAATATGCCACTATGGTGGGGAATGCTAATAATGAGGGAGGCTACACAAGTGTAGGGGCAGGGGGAAGATGGGAAATCTCTGTACCTTCCTCTTAATTTTGCTGAAACCTAAAACTGCTCTAAAAGTCATTCATTCATACATACATACGTACATACAATAAACATCTTTCCAGGGAAAGCCAGAATATAGTAAGAACTCCTATTACAGAAGGGAAAAATGAATTACCACAATATAGCTAAGAAGACCACAAATTTAGCATCTACTAACTCAAAAATTAGGAGACTTGCTAGGGTTTATACCACTGTACTATCAAAAGAGAAAATATATTAAACAAACTTTTTACATAAACAAATTTTAGGGGGGATATTTGAACCAAGTGTAAGAATAAATGGATTTCGAACCTAGCAGAAGCATCTTTTACATACAAACTCTCTACATATTAATTTAAACTAAACAGACAGGTACGGAGCCTGCCCACCATACTAGGCCTTGGGTTAAAAACTGCCGCTTTTACTGACTGTAACACATCTTACACTTGTATCTTCTATCACTAAGGAAAGCTAAGTAAAAGGAAAGGAATAAAAAGGAAAGAAAAGATGTTGCTAACTAAACTTGAACCAATGTTTTCTCCTATCGTTGATTTTAAGACTCATCTCTGTTTCAGGATTGTTAATACGGGGGGCTGGGGAGCACATCTTGGAATCAATGAAGCACGGCATTCTTTTTTCTCATTAAACAAAATGGCCCAAACTTCCACCAAGAATTTGTTAACCTTCGTCTAGACACCTACGGTTTTAAAAATCAATTTAGACTTTCTGGAGTTCATATTGCCTTTCTTCCAAATGGACCCAAACCAGGGAAGGGTTTCCCATTCTTTAGTGACCAAGGAAGCCATCTATTTCAGGAAGCTGACTAAAGTAATATTCTCTACCTTCACTGAACAGCTAGCTGTCTCTAGGGAAGGCCCAGCCAGCTGAGGCCACCACACCCCCAGGACACAGCACCAACCCTGCTCTCTATACTTGAGCCCTAGGGGAGAAGTGAGTTTGTACCGGACATGTGCAAACATGGGAGGTTAGGAGGTACCCACACTAACTTAACCATAAATTACTTTAGCTTTAACTGAATTTCCAAGGAATCTCAGGATGGGTCCATTCTGAGCAGACACACCAATCTGTATCCCATTAAAGACTGTTCAATAGAGTCTTTATTTGTAGGTGCTTCTAATAGGAAAAAAATCATACACATACATACAACAACATATCTACAAGGGATCATATTATGGACACTATTATATATCCGTTTTTCATTTGAAAACCTTTCTAGGTCTGCCTCTACAGAGCTACCTCATCCATTTTAACGGCTGCATAGTACCCTGTCAAATAGATGAAGTGCCATAATTCACTTATCCAGTCTTCTCTTAGACATTTTGGTTGAAGTAAACATCCTTGTACAGGTATTTTGGCAAACATTTGTGTACATATCCCTGGGGAAAATTTCTAGCCATGGAATTACTAAGTCAACAGGCATATATGTTTAAAGTAGACGTACAGTACCTAATTGCCCTCCAGGAACCAAACCAACTGGCATTCTCTAGAAAGGCTGCATGAACTTATACTTCAGCCCACAATGTGGGCTGTCCTGCATACCCTTTGCTTGGGACATCTTTATCAGTGCAACCTTATGCACACGTGAGAGATGATAATATTAATAGTTATGCAGAGGACTTACTCTATAACAAGAAATATTCTGAGTGCTTGACATTTAAGTCTCTATATGGTAGCCATTTTTTTTAAAGTTACCATTAATTAATGAGGAAACCAGGGCACAGAAGTATTGAGTAATTTGCCCAAGGTCACACAGCTAGTGGGCATGGGAGTCAGAAATCAAACCTAACTTCACCACTACCTATACCACTTCCTCAAAAGAGAGAAGCTCTATCTTCAGTTTTGCCTTTTTGCTACTCAAGACAAAAACAAAAATTAGGTACAATAATCCTTTTATTTAATGGCCTCCCAATCATACCAAATTCTTGGGGCCCACTAACACTTAATGAAGAAAGAGTACAAATTACCACTCTTATATGTTGCCCCCAAGTATCTCATACAATATGTTATTTGCTTCCAAGAGCATTTCGAAAAGAAATGTAATAAACCCAATTAGAACCATTCTAACCAACCACTTGCATCTTAAGGAAAAAAAAGGAACCAAAACTTCCACATGTAAGCAGAGTAAACGATGAGAAAGTAAATTGCATTTCCGTGGAAAACGTTTATCAAATACAATTCAAATGAAATTCAAACAGTCTTTATCACTTTGATAAATTTCAAACCACTGTCCTTAAGGGATCAGTCAATATAAATATATTCATGGTTTGCTGAATGCTCTCTAGTATCCCAAACCATCTCCAATATTTACGAGGCAACATTCTGAATAGAATAGCTTGGGGAAAAGGAGTCCCCACTCCCTCTTCCCTGGGGGTGGCATGCATGTCCCTCTCTCTATTTTCAAGTTCCACTGTCTCATATTTGATATACGGTGACCCAAGATCCCACTGCTCTACGGCCTCATGAAACACTGGTATCAGGGTCTTTGTGGCTTCACCAGGTTATACACAAGACTGACCACTGCATTTTGAGCCACCAATTTAGGATGTGCCCTGTGATAAGTATGAGGGAACTTCTAGAACCAATGGGACAGAATGTCCAGGAACAACAAAGATAAAGTAGCAGAGGATCCTCTCAGTCCTACTCCCTAAATAATTTCCCCTTGGATGGGTTCTCAGTTAGTTCACAGGGCTACAACAAACATCCAAGCCCCATGGATTCCACGAGGGAATTTCATGGTGGAAAATCATTAGTGGAGGGGCCGGCCCCGTGGTGTAGCAGTTAAGTGCGCGTGCTCTGCTGCTGGGGGCCCGGGTTTGGATCCCAGGCACACACTGACGCACTGCTTGTCAGGCCATGCTGTGGCAGCGTCCCACATAAAGTGGAGGAAGATCGGCATGGATGTTAGCTCAGGGCCAATCTTCCTCAGCAAAAAGAAGAGGATTGGCATGGATGTTAGCTCAGGGCCGATCTTCCTCACAAAAAAAAAAAAGAAAAGAAACTCATTAGTGGAAATATTCCACAAAACCTCTCACACTGCCAAAGGGCCACAAGGCCCTAGAATACAGTAGAGAACAACCACTCCAAAGAGTCAAGCAGCATGCCCAGTTTTCATTTGGCAAAATTTTATGAAGCCCACCAACCTTAAGCCAGACCCTGTGCTGGGGCACTTGCCTGGCATCCCCCCACTCAGAACCATGCCCACCTCACTGATGGGACTATTGAAGCACCAGTGTGCCTCAGGGCAAGGGGAAATTGGGAACGGGGGCAGATTGGAGTGAAGCCAAGACATGGCTTCTTGTCTAACGACTGCCCATGACTACTACAGATGACACCTGCTCTCTAATCCACAGTGCACATCTAGAGATGCTGTGAGATGCACAAGGGTGAAGGACTGGGGACAATTGGGGGCCTGCCCATTTTTTTTGTTTGTTTATT